AGATTGGCATTTTGAAGAAAATAACTTAAAAAGAACATAAGAAGAAGTGCCCTCCCCCGACAAGGGTATGAGACCCGTTGATGTTTTTCATTTCTTCATGATGTTCTTGATATACAGAGAATGCTCTTAGGAGGAAACTTTAATCCTTTCTCTGCAGCCTTTAATTTTCAGCTAGCACCTACCCGGAGGCTCAGGCATTTGGTCAACCAGACAGCTCTTTGCATCAGCGTGGAAGTCCTAGCGCCTGTTTGCACTCACCTCGAGCTTGCCAGCTTTCTCTTCTCTATTCACGTCGTACATCACCACCAGCTCTCCGTCCACAGCGGTCTCTGAGCAGTTGGAGCACTTTCTTTGCTGTGCTACTGTGGGCTTGAAGGAGATGTGCACCTGGAAGGGACACTGATGTCAGAGCCTGATCTTGGCTCTCCTCCCTGTCCAAGTAAGGCATTGACAGGGGATGGAGGAGGGGTTGGCCAATGAACATTCTGTATTCTGTTGTCTGTTGACACCAACAGATCCATTAGGAAGAGGGAAAGCTTAGACATGTCTAAGTCTGTGGGGCTACTTTGCTTGATTCTCAGGACATTTCTTCCTCTCTCAAGCATTTCAAAGTATTTCTGCTCTCTCTTTTGCTAGAAATAGTTACTAGCATTAGAAAAAGCCTGGGAGGGGCTCCCAAAAGTGAACCTCTCCATCATTGGTTCTTCCTGACCATTAAGACAGAGGGAATTAAGTTGGATCTCTCTCTCTAAAACTTAAAATCTACCACAGATTACATGAAAGCTATCTTTGGCCTCCTGGCCACTTCAATGACCTGTGGAAATGTAGCTCCATAAGGGATAATCAGTCACTGGCCCAAATGAGAGAAACCATTGGGAGTTTTGTTTGCATGCTGTGTGGAAGACCCTAGGCTCTAGCGCTCAAGGGTCACCCTTCCTTCCTGACAATGACCTTAGCTCAAGACCCTCAGAGAGAGAACAGACCTCATGAACTACAAGCCACTGAGACGCTGAAACACGCAGTGCTCACCACACCTTCTGGTTTCCTTTAGATATGACAGGGACTCCATCAAAATGACCTTCGAATGTGTCTGGGACATGAACGAATTGCATTCCCTGAGGTTCAATAATCCACACATCCACCTAGAGATGGGGAGGAAAATGACAGCATGTAACATCTTTCTATGCGCGTCAAGTACAAAACACGATGGCCCATGAGTCTTTGGATGTTTTTCTCATCTTTAGGTTTTCTCAAAGATTACCCAGCACGGCTCCGTGATCACTCTTCAGATGCTTTATGATCATCGAGATGAAATGCATCTAGCTATGGAGGCTTAAGCCCCATCTGGCAATGCAATATTGCCTTTTTCAGTTGCCTCATTCCTCTGGGAAGTTAACTAATTTCCCCTCTTCATTCTAGTCTATTCTTTTAATTCAGAAGAGCATTTGTGTTATAGGTGGGGGTTGGGGGCATGGTGGTGGAGATGAAGCAAAGGCATTGCTAAATTGTTCTGCATAGATATGATAAATTCTGTGCTTCCAAATTCTTTTCTAAGCAATGGAAGAGGGAATCCTGGTGACATAGCGAGCTACATGCTGGATTGCTAACCACAAGGACAGCAGTGTGAACCTACAAGCCACTCTGCAGAAGACATTGTTTGCAATAGCTTCACACTGCAGAAGAGAGCAGTTTGAACCTATTAGACACTCTGCTTCAGACAGCCACAGGGCACTTCCCTTTTGTCCCCCAGGGTCACCACGACTTGTAGCTTTGGAGTTTAAAGAATGAAAAAATCCTTTTGATGACCCTTGTCCAAGCCATAGAGACAGCTGCAATTTTCTGAGTGCTCCCTATAGTCTAAGTTCTGTGCTAAGTGGGTCCTATGTATTAATTCATATAACCCTCACTTGTTCACATAACCCTCACTTATGCTGTTATTTCTGCAGTTACAAATAAAGAATGAGATACATTAAGTGATCTAGTTAGTAAGTAGCAGAACCAGGCTTCAAAAGCAGGTCTGCCCGACCCTTGTGCCAGAATTCTTAGTAGTTCATAGATTGCTTCTTTGCTTTCAACAGCCATTGCAGTTCATGGGTTACCCTTTCCACGTTGTTCCTCAGGCCCCGTGCTACTTTATCCTACTGATGTTTCATGCGCTTCCCCTCGGTCTTTTCACAGCCCATTCCATTGTGAGCCAGTGCACCCACTGGATTCCTTGACTGCTTCTTCCTTTCTAGGATCATTTGCAACGAAGATGAACAACTGCCACCCCCACCTCCCCAGCTCCCTTGGGAGTCTCTGGCTTTGGAATCAGGGCCACCTTTTTTTCTGCCAAAAAAAATTTTTTTTTTAATCTACTTTTATAAAGTCTTGCCACTTGATCTGAACCAACATTTTCTTTCTTGGTAATTGCATATTCTAGGGCAGTGTGGGAACTTAATGTGCCACCAAGATTCCTGCTGTTTCTAAAAGATGAAATCGATCTTCAAGTGGGCAAGACCTAAGTCTGTGTAGGATCAGGTGGGTCATCTCTGAAGCTACGGACCTGACCACTGCTGAGAGCTGATTGAACTGCTCTTGGGGAAAGGAGGAAAAGGCTCAAGGACTGTGGAGACCAAGGCTGCTGCTTGCTTTCTTCCACCATGGCTTCTCCATGAGTGAGTACAGAGTCTGCAGGAAACGGCCTGTTCTCTTCCTTGGAGGAAGGAAATGGAAGGACTTTTCCCAGCCTTGTGCTCAGTTTGCAGTCCTGGTGGCTTAGTGGTTACACATTGGGCTGTTGACTGCAAGGTCAGAAGATCAAAACCACCTTGGGAGAAAGACAGGGCTTTCTACTCCCATAAAAAGTTACAGTCTTAGAAACCCACAGAGGCAGTTCTAGCCTGTCCTATAGGGTTGCTATGAGTCGGCATCAACTCAATGGCAGTGAGTTCGGTTTGGTGTTTTTGGTGTGCAGCCTGGTAGGACATAGTTGAACTGCCCCTGAGGGTTTCTGAGAGTGTAACTCTTTCTGGGACCAGCTGCTCCCTCCTAGTGACTGGTGGTTTTGAACTGCTGACCTTGCCATTAGCAGCCCAACATGTAGTGCACTATGCCACCAGGGTTCCTTTGGAAGAGACACGGTCATTTAAAAATCTGATAGGAGCTGCTGGGGCATTGAGCATCCCGGGAGTCATGCTACAGCTCCGGAGCTGGTTCTGCTAGATTCTGCGTGGTTGGGACTGGCCCACGGTGCCCTTGAGCCACTCACTACATAGAGCTGGTCTTTCCTGGAAGGGTCACAACGGCTCGAAAGATAACTCTTTGCCAAAATTTTATACGTCAAAGAGACTATTAAAAACGATTTTATCTGCCTTGATTCCTGTGAAGGAAATGTATTTCCATTTAACGGCCCATCTGATGGGGCAATGAAGGGCATGGAATTCTCTGCTTCTAGTTCCAGGCAATGCGCACCAGACTCAGCCCTCAGCGTGGCTTCCAGACTCAGATGGACTAGGAAGAAGGCCTGGCGATCCACTCCTGAAAATCAGCCAGTGCAAACTTCATGGGCCGCCCTGGTCTGATGGGCAACCAATCTTCAGGATGGTGCCGGATCTCATTGGACACAGGGTCACCGTGCGTCCGGTGACTGAGCAGCAGAAACACCTGAGGGGATTAGAAATTCTTTCGGGACTAAAAGGCAACTGGGGAAGGTCTGTGATTGTACGTGTTTGCTCCAATTTATCTCTGGATGAGGTAGAAAATTCATCTCCTTGAAGGTAGGAAAATGCATAGCCTGTTAGAGCTGGATGCCCTCGAAAGACCGTTAGTCCACAGCCCTTTTATCTCAGAGGGGAGAGGAATGACGTCCGAGAGAGACCTGCCCCTGCCTCTCAGCTCACTCATGCCGACTCAGCACCCGCTCAGGAATCAGGACTGCTGGCCTCACTCCCGAATGTACCACACCCTGTCCAGTCTGTTGTCCTAAAGACAAAGAAGGCCCGGCAGCATGGATGATGTAAGAATGAATAAAACTGTGAGAAAGATTTGCTTTTATCCTACCTGATGTGTGGGATAAGAGCCACTATCTGGAGGGATCCAAACGTGCGTGACTGGATTTAGGGCAGAGAATATGATTTCAGATATAGTCTCACCTAGATTAAAATCCTCATATTTTTTTCCTCTCAGCTCTGTGATCTAAGGCAAGTTATTTAATTTTGAGCCTTAGTCTTCACATTTGTATTTTAGGGATGATAGCGTCTACTTAAAAAATAGTAGCAAGGATCAAATGACATAATATATATTAAACACACACACACACACACACACACACACACACACACACTGCTGTGGAGTCAATTCTGACTCGTAGTGACTGCATTGAGTTTCTGAAGCTGCAAATCATTACTAGAACAGACAGCCTCATCTTTTCTCAGTGCTGCAGTTGGTGTATTTGAACCTTTGACCTGTGGTTAGCAGCCCAACACTTACCCTCTTATGCCATTAGGGCTCCTATTATATATAATAATATGTTTTATAACATTAATTAATTATGGAATCAATCCACATGCCATGTTAATTACATTAATTCATATGCTTTATTATTTAATATTATTAATATATAGCACATACAACTCCAAGCCCTCCTAAATGTTAATAGAATATAAGAATTATAATATCATGAACTTAGTTATTATTAATAGCATTATTACTGTTGCCAATAATATCAACCATTGCAGAATTGGAGGCTAGGTCTTAATCTCACCAACTGATGCTTGTATTATTTATCATGGGACTCATCGCTTTGAGCACGAGTATGTTGGTAATGGGCACTCATTGTTCATCACGAGAGAAGATTGACTAAGATCCCATATTCAATTGGATAGGCCATCTGGCCAGGTGAGGAAAGGTAGCTCAAATGCCCCCCATAAACCACATGCCCACCTGCCCTGGCATGGGGCTGCCTTTGCCTCATGGAAAGCCCCCTTTTCTAATTTGTGCAAAGGTAGTCTATATGCTAAGGGTGGTCCTGGAGAGCTCTCGTGGCATATATCTTGATAGTAGAGCAATCCCATACAGAATGTCCTACTTTTAAAGTCTTTTTGGAAGACGGCTCGTAGTGGAGAGAGCCCCAGCACCTAAAGCTTCTGATGACGTTGATGTTGCCCCAGGGGCTGGAGCAAATCCCAGACCGGTGGGCTACCTGATGCTGAGTGAAGGCACAGCGCTGGCAGTGGCTGGGGCTCTAGAGAAGGATGAACAGCCAGCCAGAGCCCTCTCTGAGCTGGTCGCCACTGCGTGTGGTCCCCAACGACACCAGGGCATGGACGTACCCTTCAAACGCCTCTCTGTGGTCTTTCAAGAACATACTCTGCCGGGGACCATGCTGGGACAGAGGGTGTTTGTGGCGAAGAGGCAGAACTGAGGCCAAGAGCCCATTGACATCTGAGCCCCCTGCAGAGGTGGGTCAGAAGACGGGGGAGTGGGCGAGGCACGTGTGAGGAGGAGGGCACCATGCCCTCCGCCTCCTCCTTGGTCTTCTCCTGCAACATGGGCTGCTGTTCATCTACCTCCCCACCTCCCTGGAAGGGCAGAGGCTTGGAGACTTTGTGCAATGTTAAAGAGAGGCAGGGCCAAGGGATCACTCTCTTCCTTTTCTCCTTTCCTCCCCCCTAAAAAACATAAATCTGATGTTCCCAGAAAAAAGTATTTTTTTATTTATCATACATGCGACTCTTCAAATTAGAATTTTAAAATCCACCACGATCAATCCGTGACCTCTAGTCTTTTCTCCCTCTGTGTACATTCGTAAGCTCTGACTTCGTTTTCCCATTTGTCAAATGGGAGCGGCATGGTACGCTCCTAGGTTGCTTCTAGGTCTGCTTTGTCTTATCAAATTGAACACACAAAGTGCTCACATGTCATCACCATGTGTTCCGCAAAGACAAGAGTATACAAAAACTCAGTTATTTAAGAGACCAGACTTACGGGTCTGGTAGAGACTGGAGGAACCCTGGCGACTACTGCCCAAAATCATACTTCCAGCGTGGACCAGACACTCCTCCTGGAAGGCAACTTTCAACCAAACAATAGACTGGCCTATGCACCAAACAACAGCACACCTGCAGAATGAATGAGCTTCTTAAAGCAATCAGCGATAAGAGAGCAAAAACAAAGGTGAGAAGGCAAAGAGGGGCACCTGAGAGAAGGAAATGAGGAAGCCAGGATAGAAATGGGGAACGTGCTGACACATTCTATTGGTTGCACCCAGTGTCATGGAACAAGCGGTGTATGAGTTATTGAGTGGAAAACTAATTTGCTATGTAAACGTTTACCTATGGCACAACAAAATGTTAGAAATAAAAGCATTCCAGATTGCAAAGCAAGGGATGAAGATTACAGCAAGGATGAGTTCAAGTTCATAGCCAACAATGCCCAAAGGCATTATTACTATCTTGAAGTGATTGGCGATAGTTGGATGTGATATGAAAAATGAATCAGGGGTGGAGGAGAAGATGATAGCTTAGTATTCATTGAGCTCCTGTTCTTTGCCACCCATTTCCCTGAATTTCTCTCACGCATTCCTAAGGTAAAAGTCTTGCAGTAACTTTATTTGTAGAAGAGGATGTGGGGATATAGGATCATTAGGCCATGTCAGATGGTTAGGGAAGTGGGTAAACTGGCATTTGGCCTGATTGAATTCAACGTCAAAAGCTTCTCATTACACCACACTGGCTTGTAGGGTGGAGAGTGCATCAAACACCGTAAGAAAATGTCAACTGGGAACAGGAACCATAGGGGGCTGGAGCACTGGGCACCAGACATCACACAGCCACACCACACTTCCATGCTTACCTCCAAGTGTTTGACCAGTCGCCCAGGTTGCAGATGAATCCTGTGTTCATAGGAGCCCAGCTTCCTCCATTTCACTTCCTGGTACTGAAGTTCAAACTGTGCCTTTGATCCAGGGAGGATGTTGACTTCAGTTTTGAAGTTCTCCATATCAAGGGCCCTGCTCCTACGAGTGTGAGCCCTCAGCATAAGTCACCACGAGCATGACAGAGATGCCAGACCCCAAACGTCAGCAGGGAGTATCGAGACACCCCTGGATGATTAAACCTGGGTAATTGTGCATGAAGATGAGCAGTAGAGGGACTAGAGATAGATGCAGTTCCTGGTACATTTCATTCCACGGACAGTTCTGGTCCCCTTTCCTAGCTGATCTTTTTTTTTTTTTTTCATAGCTTCTTACTGATTGTCAGCTTTAAAACTCTACCAGTTATTTATCCCTATCATGTGTCAAACATTTGACATATACCATCTCTAATATAGCATTTCTGTAAGACAGGTATTCCCCCCATTTATCAGATGATAATAAGTGAGGGTCTCAAAGGTAAGTAACCCTCCACAGTGGTAGTCAGTGATAGGGCTAGAATTCTCACACTACATTTGGGATAACTCCGAAGATTGCCTATCTGTCATTGTACCCCATTTGTACACCACTCATTCGGGGCAGTGGTTGTTATTTTTGAAGGTGCTCAGAATGAAAAAAATCTATTTCATCAAATCAAATACCTATTTTGAGCATCAACCAAATCTAAATCCATTGTCATTAAGTCAATCATAATACATAGAGAACCTACATAGGGTTTCTGAGCTATGAATCTGTGGAGGGAACAGATAGTTTTTCTTTTCTCCTACGGAGCAATTGATAGGTTCGTACCAGCAACCTTTCAGTGAGTAGCCTTCACGTTGACCTCACAAGCACTACCAGGGCACAATGTTCATCATGCTAACTATTGAGTCCACTGTGACCCTGGACCTCAAAGTACTTATTGTTTTAAAGAGTAAAGGGCAATCATATGAATGCGTGTCATAGGCTCCACCATAAGATGAACAATACATTATGTTTTATAATTAAATACCTAAACAAGCCAGAAGAGATTGTGCTGAGTCATCCCGTTTAAGAGCCATGCAGGTCCATGGGGAAGAATGCTTGACGTTCTGGCTAGTTGAAGCTAAAGATGCCATGGCCCAGTGCAAAGCCAGAAGCGGAATGTAGGGAGTGGCCCCATGTATCTGAGGATTACACTGAGAGTTCTCTGAGGCTTTTCGCCTGCTTTATTCTCTGCTGCACCTCCTTGACCACAGCCTCAACCAGACGAGTTTCTATGATAAACAAATCCAGTGATACCTTGTTGTCGAACAGTTCCAAGCTCAAACTTCCCTCTACCCAGACGGCAAAGGTCGAAAAGAATCTGCTTGGTGTGTGTCATTTTGCTCATGTTTGAACTAAAATTCTCTGCATGGGGCAAGAGTGAGTCATGGGTAGACGGGTAGAGTCTCGCTGTGGACCAAAGGGATGATGCTTCAGTCCAAGCACCACTCTCACTCAGATAACATATAGTGCGTGTGCTCATGTGTTAAAACATTCATCGTTGTGCTTTTTTTGGTGTGTGTGCTTTATTTGAGTAAAATATCATAACCGTGGTTCTAAAGAAAGTTAGTGATACCAGCAGTAAAGCTAAGAAGAAAGTGTAGAACCACAATAGAGTTCAAGAAATCATGCAAAATTTCAATTAGGGTGCCGCTTGTCTGATTTGGTGACTGAATACAGCCTGATTAAGTCGATATTATCAATATTTTTGAAAACCAGAAAAATGTGATTAAAACAGTCAATGTAGTGAAAGGGGTGAAATTGTTAACCATGAAACAAAGAACCCAGACCCTTAAGACATTGAAAAGTGACTGTTAACTTGGATAACCTAGAAATAACTTGGTGGCAATGGCGTATCCAATACGGTGATACATGTGAGAAGGTTAAAAGTCTCCACACTGTTTTCAAGTACTGGAAAAGGTACTTAAATTACAAGTGTAATGTTTGGGCCTCAGAATCAAATATTTGGTTTTCCATGATCTCTCATGGGTAAAATACATCCAGTTCTCAAACATTTTGGTGTTTTCACATGAATGTGGAACAAATTGAGTTCATCAACTAAGGTATCATTGTCTTTGTGGAAAAAAACCCAAATAGATGATGTGGCCAAAATGATCGGTTAAAGGGACAAAATGATAGGAAAGCATAATAGAAGTGATTAACCAGAAGCAACCCTCTGGTTAGAATTTCTTCTTTTTTTTCACCCCCTTCTCTGCAGACAGAGAACTCCACAAAGTTTCTTGGGCTCACCTCAAGTATCACCAATTCAGTGGTGATTGTCTGAGTCCCTAAACAGCATTACCCACTGGATTATCCAAGCTCCAGAGAGGCCTGCCTCCTCCACCAGCCTCACCATAGTTGTTTTTTATGTTGCTGCCGAATTGACATTCAACCCATTTTTCCGGGATGAGAAAATGTATGAATGGGATGGAAACTAAATTTGGGGAGGTGGAGGGGGCGGGCGGACATGGAGAAGAAACGATGTCAGAGTTTGGCATCAGCTTAGCTACTGAGTGTAAGGAGTGGTGAGTTAAACATTCACTTGATATTTCTTGCCTTTTGAATAGGGGTTGGCAATTCCCAGTGTTTTACTTAAGATTACAAAAGAACAACAACAACAAAAATAAGATAAATGAAATCTAAGTAATGGATGTTTAAGAAGGCCTTATCTCATAAAAGTTAGGCAAAATAAATCATTGACACAAATGCCAAACGTAGTTTTCGGCACATACAGTAAACGCTGTAACAAGATCGCAAATATTGCGGGGAGGGAAATGAATAACAGAATTGTAGGTGAATGGATATATTGGACAGTGTAAGATATGGATAATAATAATAATAATAATTTATAATATATATAACATAGCAACAAAGTCTCCTGGGGTGGGGGAGGGGATCAAGGGGAGTTAATATCAAGGAGTTCAAGAAGAATGAAAATGTTTTGAAACTGACCAGCACTTGTATAATCATGCATGATCTAATTGAATTACGAATTGTTACAAACTCTGTAAGAGCTCCCAATAAAATGATATAAAAAAATCACAAATATTTCTATAGCTACTTAATGCACCTTTCAGAACCCCTGAGTGTGTTTAGACTCATAGCTTCCTTATAGAACACCAGTGTTTATTTACATCACCTCCAGCCACCTGAAGGAGAGGTGAGATCTCTCAAAACCTATTCATCGAAGAGAGGTCTGTAGGGAAACAGGAGTGGTGAGGCCTAATGGTAGGAGCTGACTACAGAAGTTTGTCCATGATTCTTATGCTCTGTGCCCTCCTGGAGGTCTGCTGGTGTGCTGTTGGGAGTGGGGTTCTGAGAGGGCGCAGTGCTGGAAAAGGGAGGGCATGCTGTGCTGTGCCGTGCCCTCCGCCAGCCCTTACCTCACCAATCCAGCGGTCTTGCCTTTTGCTCTCGCCTGGGCATAGAGTGACAGGCCCACCGTTTTCTCCTTAATGGAGCTGGTAAACTTCGTGTCATCTACACTCCTAGAAAATGACAGAAGGCAGTCATCTGGCCAGAAGAGCAAGTTTAGCAAAACAAACAAACAAACAAACAATAGGCCACCACCCAACCAGACGGATCTAACCAACGAGGAGGGGTGGTTGGCATTTTGCAGCTCTTAAGAAGCAAGAGGAGTAGACAAAGAATGTTTGGAAACTGCCAGTGGTAACAATTGCATAATGCTACGGGACATGATTGAAATATGGAATGATATGACATATGCATGGGATACCAACTAATAGTTTTAAAAAATAGCACAGGAGAGACCCGAACAAATGTCGTTTCATAATCACCTGTGTCCAGTGCCCTTGAGTCTGTTACAACTCATAGCAACCTTATAGGACACAGCACAACTGCCCTTTGGGGTGGCTGAGGCTGTAAGTCTTTAGGCAGCAGAAAGCCTCATGTTTTCTACCGAGGTGAGGCTGGCGGGTGTGCAGTGGACTTGAAACCACCTTGTGGTTGGCAGCCCAACTCGGAACCCACAACCCCATCAGGGCTCCTTATAATCACCTGTAGTCACTTTAGATCTACTGAATGAGATGTCGAAGAAAGGAAAGATGGTGGGGGTGGGGATGTTTAAAAAAGAAGAGGTGAATAAAGTCTTATTATAGGTTTAAAAATAAGTTGAATGATATGTTTTTGAGCAGGCATCCAACATGTAACAATTGGAGCAGCAGAGGAAGGAGGAGACCCAGGAAGGAGAAGGAACTGAATGGCAGATTTGATAATCTCCTTAAACTACTGCCTCCTTTCTCGTGAGACCAGAGGAACTAGATGGCGGCCAGCTACCAGGACTAAGTGTTTTGATCAAGGATTCAAATAGATGGCTCTTGATCCCCAATGGGGGCAATGCTGAACAGATTTTCAAATTCTTGTGGAAACCCAGACTTTCCGAATCCACTGATCTTTGAGGACTCACACATCTACCGCCCCCCACCCCCCCAATCTTTAAACCTGGAACCCGAACTATGTCCCGAAGTTAACTTTAAATCAAACAACAGCTTAGTTCAATCAGTGAGGAATGTTTGCATTGAGCAATGTGCTGTTTGAAAGAATTCCCTAGAGGAGACAAAACTGATTTTAACAGGTGATTTTAACAGCAGCGATGCTAACATACAGGTGAGACATTTAGAGGGCCATTACTGCTACTGTGGAGTGGACTCTGATTCGTAGCCACCCTATAGGAGCAAGTAGAATGGTCCCTTTGGGTTTCTGTGGCTGTAAACCTTAATGGAGCAAAAGCCTCATCTTTCTTCCATGGAGCTAGTGGGTTTGAATTGCTGACCTTGAGGTTAGCAGCCCAATGCATAACCCACTGTGACACCAGGGTTCATTTAGGGGACAGTAAGTCTAAATTAATGATGATGAAATAATTTGGGAAGAGGGGACTTTCTTAAAAAGTTGGCACTGGAAATGCCATATGACCCAGCAATTATTCTATTTGGTATGTATTCTGGAAAAGTAAGAGCTGTGACACAAATAGGTGTACATCCATGTACACTGCAGCACCAGGCATATTAGCAAAAAGGTGAAAATAACTGGCGTGCTCTTTAACGGTAGGATGGATGAACAAAGCTAAGGTAAGGTATGCAGTAGAGGGCTATGAAGGTTAAAGGATAACGCTGAGAGTCTTTGGTTGTATGAGTAGAGCCTATCTGAATTTGGTGTTAGGAGTTACTCACATGGTGAAATTGGAAATGAAGGCTCCTTTGGGAATCTGCACGTCAAATACGACATTCTGAGGCAGTGGGGAGTTGTTGACCACTTTGCTCTGGATGATAGTATTGGCCATACGAGACGTAATAGTGGATTGGACTTTGTAACTATAAAGTGTTACTTGATCAACATCTTCCTGTAAGAGGAGAGAAAGCATGATAACTGTATTCATAGAAAAAAATAAGCTCAATACATTTGCTGTTAACAGCAGTGTATTGTATGAGGGAGCTTCAAGAAATTTATGGAACTATCCCATTATCTTCAAATTCAATTTTCCACAAATCTTTGGAAGCTCCTTTGTGTTTATTAAGAACAATTCGGGGACATTGTTAAGTGCATTCTTCCAACTTCTTGAAGTATACCATAGGCAGAAATCTGATCTTTTAAAAAAGAGATAGCATAGACTCTTTTTTAGCTCTATTAATATTAATAGTTAATATTAATAATGAGGGGTAGGATTAGTTCATCCAAAAAAAGAAAAAGAATCCAGATATAAAATGGTTGTGGAAAGCAAGATTGGGTGTGGGAAAGTCCAGGAAATAACCTCAAAGCCAGCGCTATAATGAGGAGAGTGTCAAGGGCTGCAGAGGTTAAAGGTTGGAAGGGGCTCAAACATCTCTTTAAAATGCGACACAGCCAGAGGCTGGAAGTGCACACATTGTCCCCAAAGCTACCCACCTTCTTCAATCTCCTCTATTCCAGTCTTGTCTTCTCCCAATTCTCCCCTTTCCCAGATTAAAGCACAATAGAAAAACACCAATGGGAGTAAGCAACAAATAAAATATCATCAAAAGGGCATTTTGAGGCAGTTTCAGTCTAGTACTCCGGCTCCACCTTTCCCAATCCTTCTCTATTGATTTAAGGTAGCTCTGGTGTAAAAAAACAAAAATGCCAACATATCAGCATGTGCTGAAAAGGCACATCTTTTAGGAGATGCCTAAGAACTACAAGCTTCTTCAGCTCCGTGGCAATTTTATGACCCAATCGATTTTGCTTTTACCTCCAAAAGGCCTTGCTTACTAGGTATTGCCTTGCAAACCTTGTTTTGTAAGATTAAACCTTTCACTTCAAACTACAATAAAATTCAGGCGAAGGAACTGCTTGAGCCTCTCACAATTGTTGTCAGTTCAGAGCGGGAAGTACAATATAAACCACGTTCTTTTAAGTTGTCCTACCACAGGAAGGTCTACTTTGAGCTTTCAAAGAATTAAACTATTTCGTGTCCAAGAGCACGCTCACATTTCCCTCCAAAGCTGTGAGGTGTTACATTCTAAATCGAGTCTAACAGTTAAGTTGCACTAAATACAAATCCTTGGATGACATGCGTGTTGTTGGCAAAATTTGAGAAAACATGGCTCTCAGTGGCATCTTTTATAGCTGTAAATACATGTACTCTTTAGTGCTGCGTGTGAGAAACACTTCCAAACAGGATTGAGCAAGGGAATATTTTGAAATCCCAGTAAATAATCTCAGTGACAAAGACAAGGGAAACAACAGGATTGACTTCCAATTAATAGTTAACAGAAAAATCATTCTGACATCAATTTTTAACGAAATCAAAGAACACTTACCATCGCTTCTCCGGATTCCCCAGAAACACTTCTCTGTGAAAGGAAGTTGGACAATCATTTCCCAACTGTATATTTTACTCATGACCTCCAGGGAAAAGTTACGTTCTCGCGGTGAAAAACCCGTTCTTTGATACTGGGCGATATAATTCATTCCATGGAAGCAGAGACATACAAAGCAACTCTTCTTGAACATCATTTTCCCATTGACGTGTTTCTCTAAACCCATTTCTCAGCCTTTTGTTTGGGTTGCATGCTAAGTCAATTTTAAAAATGGAACGCCAAAACAAATATTTTTCTGTGAAAATGTCAACCAAACTCAGGCCGAGTGACCCATATCACATTTAACTTATTTGTCGGACTTTTAAAAATTTGAACGAATGGTGTTTTAGATACTCCATCTTGTTACAAAGTTCTGGACGTGCTGTCCCCACTCAGCACTGTGTTTCCTTCTAGGGTCCCTGGATCCCTACCGCTACATAGCCCACTCCTCCGCATCTTTCAGATTTCGGCTCTGCCCGAATTCCATCCCTGACATACTTTCTGACAACCCCTACACCCAGACCAGCTCCACTTCCGTTTCCAAGCATTTTCATGGAAGAATATTCCTTTCTTCTGAAACCCACTTTGCTTTGTAATTCATCCTTTTAGCTGAGTAATTATTTGGTTAATATCTGTCTCCTCTGTTAGACTAAACTCCATGAGAACAGGGACTTTTGGGTGGAGTCCCCCTGGGTGTGACCAAGGAGACAAAGGTAAGGACAAAGTAAGGCAGGGGCAAAGTTCATCCCATTGCCTTTAAATTCTCAATGACTCAAGAGTGATGGATTTTAAAATAGTAAGGGGTTGGATAAAAGCTTAGTTTGGCCTACTTGGGGGTGAGCTGAGGTTTTAATGGATGTACATGAGGGGGCTTCAAAAGTTCATGAAACAATTCTTCTATATCTTAATTGCATTTT